TTTTTATCATTAATAATTACAATTTATTTATATTTATTAAATATAATTATTTTTTTATTTAAAAATTTATAATAAATTTCAACTATTAAAAATATAAAATACATGATTGAAATTTTATATAAATAAAAGGGTGATTCTCATGGGTGGTCACCTAACTTTATTAAAATCAACGTTTTCATCACTCAACTTCTAAACCTAACAAAATGATCACCCGACTTCTTAAGTTGTCCAACTGTTAGTCACCCATAGTTAATATTAACTGAATGTTAAATTGCCGTTAAGGCGGCTAACTTAAATGCCACGTCATCCGACCTAGCATTGCAAGCACTCATTAGCACTAAAAACGTGAAAATTGTAATCTAAATTCTTAAAATTTTATTTTTTTTAATGATTATTCACATGATGATCTTAAGGTCTTTTTTCATAATAGTTTCTTTATTTTCAACTTATACCTTTTTGTTTCTTTGATTATATTTTAAAATTATCAATATAACTATACAACATTGTTATTTTTATTTTCAAGCAGGAAATATAATATTATGTCTGCAAGAGTTTTGATCATTTGTGTTGTGCCAATTTTGTTGACGCTAGTCTTAGAGAAGTTTCATGTTACAGATATGGCCAACTAGATCATACTAGTTTGGTAATTTATTCTGAGTTTTCTCGATGTCCATCCTCATTCGTTTTGTCTATTATTAGGTAAGTTAGAAAAGGGGTTTCTTAGCAAATTTAGCTTCCCTCTATTTTAGAAATCTGTCTAGTCCCAAAGAAGTTTCACATTATAGACGCAGCCAACAGGTCATACTGATTTGGTAATTTATTCTGAATTTTCGTAATAATCATTTTCATTGACTATATTTGCTTAAATTAGAGGAGTTAAAAAAAAGTCAAAATTTTAGGGATTTAGATTACAATTTTTACATTTTTAGTGCTTGTAATGCCACGTCAGATCCCCCGTGGCATTCAACTTAGCCACCTTAACGGTAATTTAACATTTTCAGTTAATATTAACTATGGATGACTAACGGTTGGACAACTTAAGAAGTTAGGTGACCATTTTGTTAGAATTAGAAGTTGAGTGACCAAAACGTTGATTTTAATAAAGTTGGGTGACCACCCATGAGATTCACCCTAAATAAAATGTATAAAATTTATAAGTAAATAAATCTCTTGATATTATATTAATATAAACCACTATTTTAAAAATAATTTTCAAACATAATTTCTATGATGATAATAAAATACTAAAAAAATATGACCACCACAATTTACAAAATAAATAACTGACTTAACTTAATAAATTATCTAGTGCCTTTTATATATTTTTTATTTCATCTAGTATATTTAAATACTAAAAAAATATGACCACCACAATTTACAAAATAAATAACTGACTTAACTTAATAAATTATCTAGTGCCTTTTATATTTTTTTTATTTCATCTATTATATTTAAATATTTTTAAATTTATCTATTATCTTTTACTTTTATTTCAGTTTAATTTAATCTATTAATTTTTTAACAATAATTTCATTCCACTTTATCAAATTAATCTTTAACTA